TGTCTTGCGAGGTCGAGTTGGATTGGAGTTCAGTGGAGTGATTGGGTCGGAAGGCGAATCACCACCCTCAGCGTTTTTTCTTCGCTGAGGGTGAAGGTGTGGTACTCCTCGCCTTTGCCTGTCAGTGTCTTTGTCAATAGTCTGTGGTCGTTAGGTGTGTTTGGGGGTGTGTGTGTGTGCCTGTCTGGGGTATAATATCTGTCATTTGTTTGTTAATGAGTTGGGTGGGTGGGTGGGTATGTAAGTGTTAGTCGTGTTGGGATGCCCCCTTACGGGGGCGTTCGTATCTTTTGGTGTATTTGTCTGTCTGGTATATTGTTTGTCGGGGGTCGCAATTTTAAAGAATTGTATTTTAAAGTAATGCAAATAACTGGTAAATAAGCAAAAACCTACCTGGGCATAACCCCGGGACAGGTACCTGCGACAAAGATGCCGACGGCCTCTATGCTTAAGCCGGGGATTAGGTCGATGATTAAAAGGAAAGAAAAAGATAATTTCCACGTAGCCTTAATAAAGACAGGTAGATCTTGCTCGTTGCAATGCACTTCACCTCACAAACAAACACGTCCGCTCAGTTCGGCTGTTCGCTCTGAACTGAATGACAACAGACGCTACGATCTACGACGCAAGAAAGTTGGTCCGTTTAAACCTTAGAGCATATACTAGAGGAGGCAGCTTCTCAGTGGCCAAGGTACCCCATATACCTCTCTCTCTAAACCTCCGCTACATTCTCGGCCACTTGCCTCCAGTAGTATATGCTCTAAATGTTTAAACTTTTCAACGTTGACGTTACAATACAAGATTAGCTGCAACCATCGTTCAAAAGTATATAGGAGGCAGTTCGTTTCAACGTCTTGTAGTCTGTGTGAAAAGGAATCCTTGAAGCGGATGTAAAATTACATTAAATTTTTCAATTTTTTATCCTTAAAACAAGATCCATATTGATATCATTATGAAATTATAACTCCCTTTTATGAGAGATCATATAAGCGCATGTGCAAATATTGAGAACTCCCTAAGTGAATGCGCTCCGGGAATATTTTTGTTTGTGACGAATGGCGGGAATTAAGAATTATTATAACAATTAAATTAACCTAAAATATGTTCATAAAGAAATGGTGTATGGAGTATGAAAATTTTCTTTAAATATATGATGGACTCCTAAAATCTAAAATTGAGTGATTTAACCCCTGTTATTTTATTAATTCACGGATTATAGAAAATTTAAATTTTCCTTCGGTCTTCTATCAACAATGTTGATAAAGTATTAGCGAATTTAGTATACACAAGGGTGATACCTATTCTTAGTAATACATAAATATACACGTATATGCCTTTTTTATAATAATGTCTTGTACAGAAAGAGTGATAGTTTTAGTTGATATGGATTGCTTTTACTGCCAAGTTGAAGAAAAGCTTGACCCCAGTTTAGAAGGAAAACCAATTGCTGTTGTGCAGTACAATGCCTGGAGAGGTGGAGGGTTTGTAAATTATAAGTTTATATGCACAGTTTGGCCAAAATCGTCTTGTCTGCGAGTTTCAGATGTGTGGAGATAATTTGTTCTTATGTTTAAATACAGAATATAAAACCTTCATTAAATAACTATATTTACCAGACCTAAGTAAAATTTTTGCACAGAAATATTTAGTACAGAAGAAATTTTTGGTACTATAGACTCTTCTTTATCTACACATCTTGTGGGCAAGATGAGTTTGATCAAGTTGTAGTATATAGTATTATAGAAGTGAATTAGTTTTAAGCGTATTATAATATTTCAGAATAATTGCTGTTAATTATCCTGCTCGTGAGAAAGGAGTTACAAGACATATGAGAGGCAATGATGCAAAACAAAAATGTCCAGAAATTGTTCTAGTTAGAGTACCAGAAGTAAGAGGAAAAGCAGACTTAACAAAGTAAATATATGCTCTGATATTAACTAGTATATCAACTAATAATCAATGGAAACTTTTAAGTAACAAAATCTAGGTATTTAAAAAATAATTTGAGCTACTGACAAATTCTTGAAATTTTATTAAACCAAGAGGATTATACAAAATGGATAAGAGCTGAATTTGAATGTGAATCTCTGAAACTATCAGAAATAGAGAGTTCATTAAATTAAAACAAAATTAAATTATCCCCCAGGGAGATATAAAAAATATCAACTGAGATTTTTTTTAAATGCAAAATGTTTGAATTCATTTTCCGGTTTTATTTGAAGAGTTGCATGAAAATAGCTATTTTCATTCTATTTTAATTTGATATTTCATGTCAATGATTTTTTTATGAACCTATTTTAAATGTTTTATTAAATTTTAGATACAGAGAGGCAGGAAAAAGAGTTGCAGACGTTTTACAAATATTTACCCCAATTTTGGAAAGAGCATCAGTCGATGAGGCTTATTTGGACATTACAGATGTTGTACAGAAAAAAATTACAGAGTTTAGTGAAGTTCAACTTAATAATTTGCAAAATACGTATGTCGTCGGTTATGATATCCAGGATTTTTTATATAATGTTAATAAAAATAGGGATTACTCTGAGAGTAATTACAGACTGACTCTGGGAGGTGTAATTGTTGAACAAATTAGAGCAGAAGTATACAAAAAGACAGGTAAGTAGTGCATGGGCTAATTTGATTTTTCTTTAGTATTTATTCTTAAAAATCAAAATATATATTTTTTTTCATTTAGTATAAAATGGCCTTATAGATGTAGTGAAATTTTAAACTGCAACTTATTTTAGATATGAAGAAAATATTATTTACAGAAAATTAATAAGTAACTACCATCGAATATAGAAATTTAAATGTATGATTCAATATTATCAACAGTCTGTAAATAAAACTGAGATGTTTAAACTACTCCATCAGATTTTTAACATCCTGTAAAAGTTATTTTACGGTCATCTTAAATTTTGACATAGTATAAAATTTCGTAATATTTAACAAATCTGTTAACGAATACAATTTTAACGTGCATTTAAAATTTAATAGTGAGATACAGAATTGTCCCCTTAAAGCTTTAAGTTTCTGTTTCAGTTTAAAAATCTAGCAGATATTGCTCAGAAAATAAAAAATTAGCCATAATTCATAAATAATAGAGCCCAATTATGTAGTTTTTAGCAGATTTTATTACTTTTTGACAATAATTGGCTGTGCAAAAATGTTTCATTTTCAGACATATCCAGTGTTCACATGTTCAATGTCGATGCATTTCACCTAGATCCTGAAGTCACATTTATGTAAAATGAAACTTTTTGGGGTATAATAGTCCCAGAGATATTAAACGTATAAAATTTATATCATGAATGTAATTACCTCAATTTATTCAGGTTATTTGTTTTCAAACTTTATAGTCAAACCAAGATATTTGTCTTATATAGATTTTTGATCTATAAAATTGTCGAAAAAAATCCAATATTTTTTATTTTGTGATTTTAGGATACAAATGTTCGGCAGGAATAGCACATAATAAAATTCTAGCAAAACTGGTATGTGGATTGCACAAACCAAATAAACAGACCATATTACCACAAGAATCTGTACCAAAATTGTATAAAGAGTTACCATTAAAAAAAGTTCCTGGACTTGGAGGAAAATTTGGAATCAGTATTTCAGATAAACTCAACATTTCGAAAATAGGGGAATTGGTTACATTTAGTGAAAAGCATTTAGTGAAATACTTTGATGAAAAAACTGCGTAAGATATTCCTCACATAAGTTTAAATAAACAAATATATTTAAAATATTTACTTACATATACAATGTGCTTTCTAAGTTCATGTTACAACTTCAGGAGGTTGTTCCTTGGATGATTTTAGGCTAAAAAGTCTTAATGAAGGTTTGAAACCTGAACTTTACTACATTTGTGTATCACTTTCATAAATTTTGCCACACTAAGTTTGTGTTTAGCGAGCGAATGATAAGACTTACCTCAGTGTTTTTGGCGATTTTTTGTATGGCGAAATGTGAATCAGAGACTTTGCCTGTTATTGCAAAATGTTAAAGGCCTTTGGCGACGATACCATATCGCAGCCACGAGTTTGTCAATGGTACAAATGTTTTTAAGAAAGCCAAGAAGACATCAAACATGAGGCGAGATCTGGTCAAATGTGAAGGTGTTTCTAACCGTTTTCCTCGACTACAATGGAGTAGTTCATCACGAATTTTTACTGCTCGGTTGTACAGTTAATAAGGAGTCCTATCTACAAATTTTGCACAATTTGCATGAGGCAACTAGGAGAAAACGATAAGAACAAGAAAGACAACTCGTGGATTTTGCACTACGACAACACACTGGCACATGCCGCTTTGCTTTTCCAACAGTTTTTGGTGAAACACAACACCGTTGTGATGCCACAACCACCCTATTCTCCGAACATGTCCCCCTAGACCTTTTCCTATTTCCCAAACACAAAATGATACTCAAAGGGCGTTTTTCAACAATAGTGAGATAAAGGCAAAATCGCAAACTGTGCTCAACAATGCTACTTTGAAGGGGATAGGATAAAAAGTGAAGTAAATAAATACTTAGAAAATTATCAATTACTGTTACTTTTCGATCAAACCTCGTACAACACGTTCGCGGGGATATTCAAGTAAATAGTGGTTTTAAATCCTTAGCTCCTCAAGGCTTTTTGGCTTTAAATGACATGGACTTAGAAAATCTTCCATATATACAGAGTACTCAATCTTTAATAATTGTTTCCCTTTAAATTTAATTGTTTCTGAGATACATATACAATTTGACTGAACTACATCCACTACATCTTAAAAAAACTATAGTGTTTTGTTTTTGCAATTAAGAATGTTTACTGCCGATGTAGGATTTCTTGTTAGATAAAAATAACCATAAAATTTTTTGGGCTTAAGACGTTATTTATTTAATGATCTTGAAATGTTATTTTCCATATGGAAAAATTACCAGATAGTGCAACAAATAAATAATTAGTTAAGACATGCGTGGCAATTTCTTATTTTGGTGCAATTTTTTTGATAAATATAGTTGGTATATTTTTATTTTTAGAAAATGGCTATATAATATTGCAAGAGGTATAGATTATGAAGCAGTGACAACAAGGCTCATATCAAAATCTATTGGTTGTTGTAAAAAGTTCCCTGGAAGAAGTGCTTTAACTACAGCTGAAAGTATTGATCACTGGGTGAATGAATTTGTTTCCGAAATATTGGAAAGGTTGGAAGGAGATCTTAAGGAGAATAATAGGAGAGCAAGGCAAATAACACTGCACTTTACTCAAACTGTTAATGGCAAACAAATTAGTAGTTCAAGAACTCTTTCCTTAAATTGTTACGATCATTCGAAAATGACTCAAATTTGTTTAGATGCTATAAAAAGGTATTGTATGAAGTCAGATGGTACCTATGACATAAGATACTTAGGGTTCAGTGTAGGAAATTTCGAGCTAAATAAGAAAACTGGAAACATATCAAGTTTTTTTGAAAATATGAGAAATTTTAATTTGCAAAAAAGTGCCATATCCGAAAATAGTGTTAAACAAGAATCAGATTGGTTAAAACAAAACATAGCGAATACTGAATTATCACCAAATATTGTAATAGAAACAGTAGGTGTAATTCCAAACCAGCATGAGGATCTTATTTTGGAAAAGAAAAAGTACTTGAATGAAGATAATACTTCTCCATCTGAGGAACAAATTAGTTTTTCAGGTAATGATGAAATTCACGATCAAACTTATCAAGACAACACTTCGATTTACTCTGCAGAAACTGACGATTTAAATGATGATATAAAGAGCCTTATTTTTTATGAAGATATCTATCCAGAAAGTGTTGCTACTGAACCTATCTTCACTAAACCACTAAGTGAAAATAAACGCAAAATTAACGACACAATTTTAAAAAATTCATGTCATACCGATTCATTTAGTCAGGGGTCATCAAGTTCCTTTTTTTCCAAATACTTTGAAAATTATAATATTGATAACTGTTATTCGAGTCCGACTGAGAGGGATTTTGATACATCTAAAATTTTAACACAGGAATTAGAGGATTCAGACGAAATTAAGTCTCATGAATCAATACAGATTGCTGAAGATAAAATTGAGGAAAAAAATATAAAATCACAGATAGAATTCGATGAATGGGAAAACAAAAAACTATCAGGTTCAGACATTTGTCCTGAATGTAGAAAAAACATACCAAAGTCTGAATTTGGATCTCATATGGATTATCATTATGCTTTAAATATTGTTAAAGAGGAAGCTCATTTATATAAACCGACACAAAGCAGTACATCAAAACAAGCATCTTTAAAAAATCGGTCATTTAAGAATCTTTCCAAACCGGCTATTAAAAAAAGAACAGCAGATACGAAACCAATTCTTGCTTATCTGCAAACAGATGAATTAAATGAGGAGAATAGTGAGTTATGCACTGAGTGTAATAAAAGAATTAAACTGGATGATGTAATTAACCATATGGATTATCACACAGCAAAAAAAATACATTTAGAGATAAATGCAACATCATCTTTTGCTCCAACTAGGAAAAACGTTGAAAAAATACACGTAAAACGAAAGAAAAAAAAAGTTAAAAGTAGAGGAACTATTACTTCTTTTTTAAATCACGGAAATATTTAATTGATACTGTATAATGTTTCATGGAATTTTATAATGAATTTTAATAACTTTTAATGTTATTTGAGGTACCTATCGGGTTTTATTTTGTATAGATATGTCTTTTTATTTACGTAAATATAGGGAGAATTTTAATATAAAAATTTGTTTCTTTTACTACCTATCCAGTGTCCACATTAAGGTGAATTCTAGAGGTGCTGAATTATATTTTTATGGTAGAGCATAAAAATACTGCCTTTTTTATTTTTAAGCATCGTTTGGTATTCCAAAGTTTGAGATCAAACCAATGTTAGTATATTGGAATGGTTTGTTGGGGTCTGTTAACGTATGCACACTGTCATCCGACAACTTTGTACGTTGGCAGTCTGCTGTGATATATTTAGATTTGGTTTGGACACCCAACGCACTAGCTGAGCTGACAGTGACGGCGGTAAGTAGTATTCTGATAATAAAGTGTGGAACCCCTGCCATTTTTATAAGACTCACAAAGAGAAGTTTTATGTACGAAAAATTTAGGAAGTAATTGCAAAATAAAAAAATTAATTTTTTTTTTCTACGGGAGAATCTGTCACGCTTGACTCGTGTCAGTTTTTGGGAAGATGACTAGCTGATTAAGGAATGGGTCTTACTTATTCTATTGATGCATTCGGCCGATAAACTGAGTTCTTTTAATAATTTGAAAAAAATAACATTGATTTTAATGCAGGAAGAAGAAATGTTACTGATTTTTCTTCTGGTATGCTTAAAAAAAGTATAAACATTTTCCAACCCACATTTTGGGAACATTCCTGACATTCCGGCAAGCTATTTTATACCTTCAGGCATATTTGTGTTATTAATATTGTAGTTATAGAGACTACATGCTGTGAGTTCAGCGTGTCATGTTCCAAATCAAATCTAAGCAGACACTGCCGACAACTCCACTGTAGGTGGACGCATAAATCAGAACTTAACAGTTTGATTTCAGTAATTAATTGTGAGTTGTGCATCATATTTATCGTCTTATCTTCCCTAATAGAACAGTCAGAGACAGTGAAAAAGAAAAAATTAAATTAGTTGAAAAACTTCAATATTATATATCTCAAAAACTAAACCGTTTAGAATATAGTTCCACTGGAACTTTTTCCTTTAAATAACCAAAGAATCACCTTGTTAATATCGTCAAATAATTCCACTCTTAACTATGAGTTTGAGATTAATTCGTTAGTTATGAACTTGTAAAGGGTGTAACTTTGAGTGGAAGTCATATTTTTACCGAGACTTCCTTTGGCCTTTAGAATTCAATAATTTATTTATTCAAATTCCGTTGTGAAAACTTAACTTTTTTTCGTATTTTCCTTACCCAGCCGCTGGACCAGCTAGTGTAACCACAAACTATGGCGTGCGTTACTCGCAGAGTATGCACAATTAGAAACTGGGCTGTGCATTGTTGTCAAATCTTTTTAAAAGAAAAGTAAGGTTTTAAGGTATAAATTGAAGAGCAGAAAATTTTACATTCAGATATGTCCTTGACCATTTTCCAAGATGGCGGACACGATTCCCAAAAAATTAACCGATTTACGCCAAATTTTGTATAGGGGGGTTTTTGGGGTCGCTGACTACGAATCTGAAATCTGTTTTTGAGGAATTTTAGTCCAAGATGGCGGACGCGATTTTAAAAATCAACTGATTCTTGCCAAAATTGATATAGTGCGGTTTTTGAAGGTAAAGTTCACGGTCAAATCAAGGGTCACCGTCAGTTAGCCAGGGGAAAATCCTACAACGTTAGTTATGGTAATTTTTTTGCAACACGTCAAGACAGCGCGCCAAACCATGCGTGACCTTGATTTGACCTTTAATGACCATCAGAGGTCAAATTCGGAAAATGGTCAAGGACATATCTGAACGTAAAATTTTCCGCTCTTTTCATTTCCGGGGTCAAAAGTAGGGCATCCCATTTGAAAATATTAACTTGACCTTGAAATAACCTTGAAGGTCAAGGTCAAGATCAGGGGAGATCTAGGGTCACCGTTGAATAGCCAGGGAAAAATCCTAAATCATTTTTCCTCAAAATGCATTTTTCGAAAGTTATTGTGCCGTTTCCATACTTTTGGGACAGGTTGTATATACAAATGTCCAGATGATACAGAAGTTTTCTGCGTTAGCCGTTTTGGCGGACATTTTCATCGAACTTTTTCTCCCTTCCTGATCACCGTGTTCTAGTATCCAATCCAGTCCAGTTCAGTTTAATGCTTGCGATAGGAACCACAAAACATATAAGGGGACGTGTTCAAATTTCATAAGAGCATTTATTTCAATATTTGACTCCACACCCCCACGTGAGATCTTAAGTTTTGCAGAACACTCTCCGGTCCTCATTCTTACATAAGATTTTTCGAATCGAAGGTAGGGTAACAGCGCGTTACATAAAGTTATTTGCGTTTGTTTATTTACTATCCAATTAATTAATTATTTATCTAAATAGTAGTTTTTTTTTAAATGTCGTGCAACTATTTTCTTTAAATGCTGATAATATCATTTTACGTAATCATTGTTTTGATCCCTTTCAAATTCACTGAATTTGTACTTTAACATTCTTGAATCCGAACGAACTAGTTTGCTTCTCAACAACTGAATTGGACAATGAAAACTGACTCGTACATTTTCTTTGGTCGTTATTATGCTTTACTAAGAAAGAAATATATTATTTTATTTTTGTAATTACCACAATTTTGTGTTTATGAATATCATTGAAGTAATTAAACAAAACTTGTACTAATTCACCCATGTTAAATAAACAATGTAAATCGAAGATATTTTAATGTCATATTTTTTTTAGTATTGAGTGTAGTTATATACATTGTACTTTCCCCATTCTATAATTGGTTTCTTTAAACTGTTGCATGGCATGTTTTAATAAATAATTTAGTCATGTACTATACAGGGTGTAACTTTAAGTAGCAGTCAGTTTTTTAGGGGTAATAGTAGGTACGTGTTCCCCGAATACTAATCTTTTTTTTATTAAATAAATAGTCGAGTTATAATTAGTTTTTAAAATGCACTTTAATTCTTGTGTACGCCGCCACTGTAATATTCATCTATTACAAATACATGAATTGTAGGCAATCTACAGTGCATGTAAAGGGAGATACTAAATAGTGCAGTTCAACGGTGATGAAGAGTTGTTGCACATTTGGGGACAGTACATCTAACTGTGAATTTGATTTTCATCTCTGGAAGCCATCAACAGGTTGCTTTGGATATCCTGTAGACAGGTCTATTGTCTAATTAGTGACCGTTATTCAGAGGGAAGCGACTAAGGTGGTGTCTGTAAAAACTGAAAGACCCGCAAGAACTATCTATTTTTGTGTATTTCATTTATAATGGTTGATTACTGCTAGTTTTTTGCTAGGTTACTTGTTAAGTACCGTTTGTGTGGTGAACACCCACTCAACAAAAGTAGCTCGTAGCGCGTGGTGTGGAATTATGCATGTGCTACGACTAAAGCGCGCCGTTATTTAAGGTTAGGAATTTGAAAAAGTAGACTATACATGTTTTAAAAGGCCAAAGGAATAAATATGACTCCGACTCAAAGTTACATCTTGTAGTGGATTTTATACTGACGGCGACATATTACACACATTTTTTTTTAGAACTGTTCACGTATTGAAATTATTTGTACTTATTTTAAACAAACAACAAAGGCTATAAGGTAGGTATTAATTACATTTTCCCAGTGCGAGTTACGTTGTGCAGCAGGTCCTTCGATGTAAATTGGAATCGCTTTTTAAAATTCTCAAGCTACATTTTAGAATTTGAGTTTCCAGTCCGAGTACAGTACAGTTCCGCATTCAGCGTTACATAGTCCACACCACAAATACCTGTTCTAATAGAAGCCATAACTGTTTATCTTTAATAACCAAAATACCTTAAGCACGACACAAACTGAGATGCACTGTACTACATTAATCTTGCAGTTCTGTAGAAAGGGGCCTTTATGCAAACACGCACATATTATATTTATGAAATGATTCAGCATACTTTATTTTTTTAGAATTACTGTTTACAATATTACCACAACTCAAGTAATGAAAAGTTTATTCTAATATAGTCAGTTCAAATTTCATTAAATAAGCTGTTAACCTAATATTAGATATTTAATATCGACATAAATTAATAGAATCAAAAAAATCAGTTTTTATCTTCCTCGAATATAATTCAAAACGGATGAGTGCTGATTATTTTATCGATAGCTATGTCCGCCTCCCCGGTGATAATTTGAACGTCCTCTGCCGCCACCCCTACCGCCACGATTATCTCTCGACTGATACTGTTGATTGTGCTGGTTTTCTTGAACATATTGATCGGCATATGTGGATTTGTTAGCTTGAAATGAATCATAAGTTTTGGCCCTTTTTGTTTGTTGATAATCCTGAGTATAATTACCTCCGCTTCCTCTTCTATTGTCTCTACCGTTGTCATATCCTGTATTTGCACCGTAACTTCCGCTGTCGTAATCTCGTCTGTTATAGTTACCGCCACCTCCATACCCACCAGAGCTGGAATTATCGTAACCTCTAGCGGAATTACCTTGGAACCCACTAGAATAATCACGACTATCTCTGTTGTTACTGCCGTATCTGTTATCTATATTGTAAGTGCCAGCACTATCGAAACTTTTATTACTTCCGTAATTGGCAGAATTATCATATCCACCTCTTGATTGGTAACCAGTGCCCCTTCCTCCTGCTCCTCCTCCTCCTCCTCCTCCTCTACTGTATGAAGAATTACTTCCACCTCCTCGTGAGAAATTGCTACCTCCGTCTCTGCTGAAATTGCCACCCCCGCGTCCACCACCTCCACCTGCGGATCTTTGCTGCCATGATGGCATTTCAGGAGGAGGAGGCGCTATTTCAGATGTTCTGCCTCCTCTGTCTGGAACCTAAAAAATTATAATATTTTAAAATTTTCCAAGATGAAACTAATAATATGCGGTTTTATATATTAACCTTTAAACTAGAAGAAATGAAATTTTAAAAATCCTTGTATTAAAATATACAGGGTGGTCACTTTTAAGGTGTACATTACGAATAAATAATAAAAACACAGTCAAGCATGATTCTGAAAGCGTCATTGTAATCTTAAAGACGTAATTAAGCGACCTATTAAAAAATATCACCGCTTTTTTGACATTAACATTCTCAAATTGTGCATTAAAAAACCGTGCGTTTTTCGCTTATAAACAGTTTGAATAAAATTGTTGCTATTTATGCTACCTTACCGAAAATAGACGCAATGGATAGCTAGCAAAAAAATACAAATTTAAAAAAAAGTACCCTCTACGACCAACAGAAGCCAAGATAAGAATTTTTTTTTTTTAATCGTAGCGCAATTGTTTATAAACATTAAGACTTGAATTTTTCACAAAATAAAGTTTATGACGTAAACTACGATTTCCCGTGAATTGCATTGAAAAATGTGGAAAATTAATGACTCACGAGCCCTTTAAAGAGAAGGTACTTGCTAAGTAGCTAGGGGGAAGCTAGTCCAAAAGAGTCCCGCACGCGAGAAATGTGAAATCCAAAGTTCAAATTGATGTGCGCTGTAAATTTTGCAATATCTCTGCTTCTATTCATCGTAGAAACTTCTTTTTTTTTTTAACTGAGGTAGCTCGACGAAAAAATAACAATGGGCATATTTCCGAATTTGTAGAATAGCCCTGAACCCCAGAAAAAATGCCTCTTTTTATACTTAATTTTTTTTAATTTACAAAAATGTCAAAAATTATTGTTAAACGAAATATTAATTAAAATTTCAATTTTGGAATTATTTTACTATTATTAAACAAATAAATGAAGCTATCGTTCATTTAAAAAGTTATTTTTTTTTACATATTAAGCCAAAGTAAACTTATTTTTTCAATATTTTGTTAGTTATTTAATTACGATTTAAATGTAAAATTAAAGTAAAAATTCACAAATTATCTTCAAATAAGTGCGATAGTTACAAACAAATTAAAAAATGTGTTTTTTGCAATATCTTTTTTGTTTATTAACCGATTTTAATTTAACAAGTCACATTTTGTAGATAATTTTATTCCCTACAAGCTGTTTGTGAGTAATTTTTTGCTAAAATTGATGGTTTTACCTGCAAAGTGAAAAAACTGTTTTCCTCACTTATTTGTTTAGCTAATAAAATTTTTTGACTCATAAGATGAGAGATGTCTTGTATTATGTTCCTTTAGACAATTTTACAATAATCTCGCAGATAGGAATTTTTTCGAGTAAAAATTTTATTTGCTTGGCCTAATCCTTGAACTTGAATTTTAATTCATCCACAATCCAATATGGCATCTATAAGAAATTTGAAAGTTGGTTATGAAAATATAAGGATCTATTAGGCCTGGAAAATAGAGTATATTGCCATAAATATGCATGCCGATTTTCATTACTCTACTTTCAATAATAAAAAAGATATGGAAGAAATGAGAAAAACTTTCAATTTTTTCCGCTTATTTCAGGAACTTATCTCCAATTTCTCTTCATAGTCCGAAATGTCACGAAAATATACTATTTTTTTTATAATTTAACCAACCTTGTAAATCTTCTAGTTCAGGACATACTAAGATGTCCACCGCAAAAGTGACCACCCTGTATATATGTATTTGTAGATGATCCATACCTGTCCAATTATAACATTATTTAGTTCACTTCTGGTGTTCTTTCTGACATTAGCGTTACTTGTTTTTTCAATTATAGCCAGGTCAACTCTTGCTGCTAAGAGATCCGATAGGTCTACATCAGGATCGACTTTCAACAACACACGCTTTATATGATAAATATTTTCGAACATGTCTTCTTTGCCTTTCGTTCTATTAGACCACTAAAATCGATATGATGCATATAAGTATTGCAAATAACAATATAGAGAAAATTTCAAATATGTATTGGATTAATAAAAACGATGTTTGTTTATTTTATCACTGGAAATACAAAACAAGAATGGATGGTAGGGAGATAGGAAAATCGTGGATATAGAAGATATAAAAGCACACACTATAAAAATAAATGAATACTATACATCTTACAAGGAAAAGGTAAGGTAGTCGGATTTTTGTAATTTTTGATATTTATGGTACGTGTAGTTTGGACCTTGAATAAGAATTTTCCGAAGTAGTTCGTCGCATAATAAATATTGTTTGTCAACCAATTGTGCATTTTAATGAAATATTTGAAGAATATTCCTACATATACATAAGTATTTATTATAATATTTCGTTTGTTCATAATTTTCGAGATGAAAAAAATAATAAAAAACCATATGGTGTTTTGAAAAAAAAAAAAAAATGAAATGTCACACGACGGACTCGAACCAGCGATCTCGTGACTGTCAGTCCCGAACGCTACCAATTAGGCCACGCTCCCAGTTGAAAGATGTGTCACATCTAGTGGATTTAGCGGTCAGGTAAAACTTTAAAATCGATTATCTCAATATATGAACGTTGCATCGAACTACTTCGGAAAATTCTTATTCAAGATCCAAACTACACATACTATAAATATAAAAAATTACAAAAATTCGACTACCTTACCTTCTCCTTGTTAGAAAATAATCAAGATTGATTTGATGTTTATAGTTTGTGCCCAAGATTTTGCACTACGACGACGCACTGGCCCGTACTGCTCTGCTTATCCAACAGTTCTTGGCGAAGCATAACACTGTTGTGATGCCTAAACCACCCTATTCTCCGGACATGGCCCCTGTGCTCAAGACGATATCTAAAGAGGCGTTCCACCAGTGTTTTTCAAACTGGAAGCTACGTTGGCAAAAGTGTATATCACAGGGGGACTACTTTGAAGGGGATGGGATAAAAAGTGAAGATTAAATAAATACTTTCTAAGAAAATTAACAATTCCCGTTACTTTTTTATCAAACCTTGTACAATCATGTGACAGATGACAGATATGTGCCGTTGGAAAACATTAATTTCTTAAATTTTAATAGAGATTCTAAGAAAGTTGTATTCGACATAGATATACCATTAGAAATTCAGGAATTGGGTCTTAAATATTAAAATATGACTATGTTTAAATAATACATAATTACACTTACTTGAAAGGACTGTATGGTGACATCTAATCTTGTTAATAACATTTCTCTTCTAATCTTATATTCGTTATTCATATCTTTTTGGACATCATTTAATATCTGCCACTGTTTATCTGATAGAAATCCATTAAAAATTCCATTACCAATAATGTCGGTACCAGCTTTTTTAAGAACAATTGGTATAGTAGGGCAAAGCTTTTGGAATAATGTCGTAATTGATATATTTGCTGGAGGTTTCGGAAACCGTAAAGTTTGTAAAATCTGTCTCATATCGGCACCTTCAGGTGTTTCATGCTGCAAAAATTTAAAACTTATTGCAAAATGGTACAACAAAATTGATAAAAAATGTTGAAATAAGATTAATTTGATCACTTTTCAATTCTCCAATACAGGGTGTCCCGAAATTCATGCAACAAAATTTGGTCATAGATTCTTAAGACAAATTTAGAGGACCCGTATTTTTTCTTTTTGCCAACTGACCCCCTCTTGCGGAGTTACAGCCCCCTGAAATCTGCCCCTAAGACGTCTTGTTTATATCTCAAAATCATGTACGAGAATCACTAAATTTGGTACACAGGGGCTTTATGACATGTGGAATTTCACAGTGCTACGCTTTTTGGCGAGAAACCCCCTTAAGACACTTTTTCGTGGGCCCCCTTGCCTTTGGAATCAGAAAAATTTGGTCGCAAATTAGACTTTTTTTAAAATTATTAGTTAGAAAGCCATTGAATTTAGAAACTTTTTTGTCTCTTGATATTTGTTTCGTAAAACGCAATGTTTTGAGGAAAATGGCGAATCACGATATGCATTCAATTACATTTTGACATTTTTCTCGAAAACATTGCGTTTTACGAAAAAAGTATAGAGACAAAAAGTTTCTAAATTTAATGGCTTCCTACTGGACAGACAATTTTTAAGAAATTTAAATATGCGACCAAATTTTTTTGGCTCCAAAGACAAGGGGGCCCACGAAAAATTGTCTTAAGTGGGCTCCCCGCCAAAAAACGAAGCACCATCAGATTCCACATGTCATAAAACCCAAAATTTAGTGATTCTCGTACAACAGGGTTCTGAGATATAAAAAAAAGATTAATCTCAGGAGCGGACTTCAGGGGGCTGTAACTCCGAAAGAGGGGGCCACTTGGCAAAAATAAAAAATACAGGTCCCCTAAATTTGTCTTTAGAATCTGTGAACAAATTTTGTTGCATGAATTTCGGGACACCCTGTATAGTAAAAAGTACTATTAGTAGGGGGCTCAAGTTATCTCACTAACAAAGGTTATTATACAAGGTACATATACAACTAAGGTATACAACTAGATTATAAAAGGTATCCCAAGATTAAGGTGACAAACACACATATTTTCCATTTAATATTAACCATTTCTGAGATAGAGGTTGTTTTATTAACTAAAGTTATAATTCGCTATAATTTGGTATAATGAAAACGTAATAACTATTTAAAAAATTCTTTTTCGTTTCGATATCATCTATTGACAAAAGATGGTAAAGATTAAAGAGGGAAAGAATCAACTTATAAAATAATGTCGTAATATTTGAATGACATACGAATCTTTAACGATCATGGTATTAAAAAAAATATTAACAAAAATATATTTACACAGCGGTTTGTAAGTAACAAGATCCTTACCAGTGAATTCGTTATTTTAAAATATTACGTTTAAACAAAACTTACTTTTGTCGCAAAATTAATAATAAGAAAGAAGTGTTAAGAGTTACAATTACAATTTTTATGTTTTGTTAAGGTAATTCTGGAAATATTGATCTGAAAAACAACAGTATTTTAATTGATTCGTTTACAATGAACAAAAACAAACGGTTACGTCTATGCTCGAAATAATGCGATTGCTGATTGGTTGAATAGAATCTCATAAAAAATTACACCAATCACCAGCCTGTGAAACAAAATGTTGTGTTTAATGTGGTCTTGAACTTATTGTTTTAATTTTACCAAAATTTGATTGCCAACGCGAAGGAAGTAAAATTACTATTCCAAACAAAATTACTGGTCATGTGACTTGCAATTATTTATGAAGGTATTGTATTTTGAAATCAGGAAGTTATCGATATTTCATTACTTATGAACCACTGTGTATATATATGAACATATTACGTTTTTGGGCCAGAGGTATTACATTCCTACAAAATATTTTACAAGTATATGCAGCAGTTTTAAAATTATAACGAATTACAGTTCCAGTAATATTTCTGAAACGGTCAACATTAAAGGGTAAATATGGGAGTGTTTGGAAGAGAACTGAATATGTTCTATCGCTCATTAAGTTTGTCATTTTAAACCTGAGACGTTAATTAAGTTGGATAAGTTCTTTTATTCTTACGATAATCATTTCAACATCAAAGTGTAGAATAATTTTTACTATCTATATAAATTAATATATTAAACACCTCTTAACAATTAACAAAATAATTGCATTTATATTATAGGCTTTCACAAATTAAATATATAAAATAAAATTTAATATTGGTTGAATATTTCATGCATATTTAAAAATTTTCAGAGCGTTTATGCAGTTAAGTATAAAAAAACAACTAACATGTTTTCAGAAAAAATTAGGCAACGTTATATGTAAGTTCTGGGGTGCATAGCTTTACACTAAAATTCATGCACAAAGTTTACATTATTTGTCAAACAAATTGGCATACATAATGGCTAACTTTATGAAAATTATAAATCAATTACCAATTTTAATTCTATCTTCTTGTCAGGCTTCTTGTCTTGCAGAATTCGTGCTCCCATTAATTCTGTTATTAAATAATCCAGCAACAACAATCGATCTGACACATTTTGTAAACGTTCAGAAACTATTCCATGGGTTAAAGAAGTGTAAGGACAATCTAAAAACAATATATATTTTTTTAGTGACTGCAAATATTTTGTCGATTTTTTTCAAAAGGATATTGATTAGGAAAATGTTTTGAGAACTTTGAGCAAATCGTCTTTGTATTTTAGAACGCATAGGTCGATTTTTATTATTATTTTTAAGATCTACCTCACAACACGTAATTTTTGTTTCTACTCTAATTTCATGGTCTACTGTGTTCACACTTTTCAAAAAATTTCAAAATTGCATATTTAACTGATAACCAAATTGAACTATATGTCCCTATCAATCAAGAATGCATTGTGACGTCATTTAGTGCGAATTGCCTCTTAATTTGAATTGTTTTATTTACTGTCACAATCAGATTTGAGGCAAAAGTTCGCAAAGAAGTACTCTTACAAAATGTCTAATTCTGAAGAAAGTTTACTCTCCGATATAAAGGTAGTTTATTAGTTTAATTTCACCAAAACTAAAGGCATGATATGAACTTGAACATCAGAAATTTGAAAATAAGGTGGTTCAAAAAGGGTAGAAGTGTCAGTAAAAATTTTCTTGGAATGTTTCTCTGAAACGCTATGTTCCAAAAATTGTCAATGCTCAGGACACACACTACTGTTTTTTCTAAGCACTGAAAATAAAAAATCATTTTTGCTGTTAAAGTTGGGATGATCGTCGGAATTTTTGAGACCTGCCGATGAGACAAACTTACGAAATTGATGCTAGATGTCGTTGAAGACAAGGCATCGTATATTAAATTCACAATCCTATATACAAAAATGAAAATTATACACAAACTGATAGCTGACAAAGGAAACATGACAGATGTCAACTACTTAACTATTTTTAGAATATACACACACCCTTGGAAATATACCAAAATTAATTGTCCAACACAACCATGACAGCTGGTTTACACATTTCAAATGCAAAAAAATGTGTAACAAATGTATAATTTATAAAAATTAATTACTCTCGTTTCTTATTCAATAGTGCTGTAAAAGAAGTAGATAGAACTTAGATAGAAAGTACATAAAACTCGCAAAATTAAGTGCATAAAAAAGTTTTTAAATCACTTACTTAATTCTTTCAAGAAAGAAGTTATTTCCATAACGAAAGCAACAGAATCTTCTGGAAATGATATCTCATTGACTTCTTCATCGATACCCAACAAAGTGCGAATTTCATTAGTAAGAAAATTCACTAATTTAGTATATTCTACATTTTTAGGACCACCTTCTACTGCAATAGGGAACTGTGGTTTTTGTAGTAAAGGTCCCTTGTACCTAGTCAAAATGTATGAATAAATTTAACTATTAAAAAAAAACATAATTGAACTTACCCAATAATATTTAAACCGTTTAATATTTTTTCTTCCAACTTGCTCATTTTTCTCTAAAGATCCAAAGCACAAGACAAATTCTCAAATATTAGAATGTCAAAGCAAAATGCCGATAAATAACCTCACTCATGAAACTTCACTGTTGCCAATTAATTGCCCGAAAAAAAAAATAGATTAGTCTTTTATATTGGAAGTCTGTGAATTAGTCCATAGCTTCGAACATATTACTACTGAACTTACTGTAGGTAGCGTAGCATGCCATTGCGAAAAGTGTGGCTGAGTGTGCGAGAGAGGCAGACAAGAACATAGCAAAGCGCCATTATTCCATGGCTAGAAATTGGCCTCAATGATTTGGGATCGAGGGGGATTATCCCTCTTTATCCTGCCTCATCTCGTGTAGGCCTG